TGTCTTAATTCGAAAAAAAAAAAAAAAAAAAAAAAAAAAGAAAATTAAAGTAAAGCGAAACACCAATGATCGCTCTATACCACGACAATAGGTAGATCCATCCTTTGTCCACTGTGAGTTCGGTTTCTTTCATTCTTTTTTTTCTTTCTTTCTTTCTCTTTTAATCACGCCGATGAAACTCGGCTATGCAGAGACGACACGACCAGGAACCCTCAGGAGGAGATGCAAGAGGTGGAGACAGACAGTACATGTGGTAGCCACGATCGCAGTCATCGCAGAAGAGCAGCTGATCCTAATGTGTTTGGTAAAAGAGTTAATGAAAAAAAAAAGGTGAAAAAAAAAAAAAAAGGGGAAAAAAAAAAAAAAAGGGGAAAAAAAAAAAAAAAGGGGAAAAAAAAAAAAAAAGGGGAAAAAAAAAAAAAAAGGGGAAAAAAAAAAAAAAAGGGGAAAAAAAAAAAAAAAGGGGAAAAAAAAAAACAACAAAAAAATAATTTCCTTCCTGTCATAACAATACATTTCTCAAAAACTACAACATACGATAGAATTTCGCGTGATGCAAAAAACAAAAAAAAAATAAAAATCTAATTAAACGAATGACGGTTAAAAATGTTTTTAAAAAAAAATACAAAAAGTGATCCCTATCGCGTTTGCTCGATTAACCTAATCGATTCGAGATATCGATTAATGATCGGTCGAACACACACGTTAAAAATTATCACGTGACAATGTACCCCTGAACCCACGACAACCCTTTGACTTTAATTGTGTATAAAAGAAGGTTACGAAAATTTTGTTGAAAAGCAAAGAAAAAGGATTTTTAAAAAAATTCAGCGCGTCGCCCCGATGCGTTTATCGAGAACAATGAAAAAATTGAACAAGAAACTTACAACCCTTCAATCGTTCGCTCTTTGTATTTATGTTTGATGTACTCACGTCGTTATCAGAGGTGCCGCATATGGAGCAGCATTTGCATTCGATACACTGCCACCTGTACTTGCGCACAGAAACGATCATGTTTGCAGTGAATTGCAAACACGTTGGGTGTCCTACAACAAGAATGTTTCCACGTCAAGGGATGCACAGGGATGGACGGGGAGGAATGACGGACGAGTAGAAAGGTGCCAGGACATTTATCTTGTGCCGAAGAACAGTGAACTCCAAGCTATCATTTTACATTATTTGACAATCAGAGCAAACTTCGCACTATTCGAATTGAAGGCCCGAAGAAACCCGTATTCTCGTTCGCGCATGCGCATATAATTCGTACGCGTATATATACACAGAGGAATATATACATATATATATACATATATTTTCGTCATACCTCCCGAATCTTTTTGGTTTCTCGCAATCCGGTTTTCTCTTTTGTTTTTCTTTTTCTTTCGTTCTTCAAAAAGATATATGAAAAATTCGCGCGATTCCATGTCTTTCACCTTTCCTCAGCACTAAACGTCCGGAATAATGAAACGCTATTCATATGTATTTTCCGCACAGAGTATTTTATTTGTTGATACTTGCAATTGTTTGGTATTTTTGTTTTTTTTTTGTTTTTGTTTTTGTTTTGCTTCATGTTGCGTTTTGAACATACCGTTATTATTATTTGGAGTAATAGGTGGTAAGTAATAGCAGGGCGTACCTTGGAATAGTTCACGTTCTTTCTTGCGCAGCACAATATAAACGTCGCAGATCAGCACACTCTCCCTCACTCGCATACAGACTCAATCATCTATCACGCGTCCCCATACATATACAATTAATAATTACTTAAACGCTAAAACTTTGTAAGCCTCGTGGGTATTGCTTAATCAAACAATTGGCCTAATAACAAGTCTTCGACTTATAAACTTTTAACATGGAGGAACTATTTGCAATGCCTTCATTCGTAACCGCGTGTCGTGCGTTTCGAGTCTCTCTCTCTCTCTCTCTCTCTCTCTCTCTCTCTCTCTCGTCCACTCACATACCCACATGCCCTTTTATCTCTTTCTCTCCTCCGTCTAACCGCATGCCAATAGCAGCAGTACGACAAGCGTCTCCCATCTCTCTCGCGCTACTGACTTCGCGTCGATGAAAAATTCATCCTGTCGACTCCGTCACGTTTTACATTTTCACCGCTCTAATCGGCATCGTGACGTCCCTAGGTAACCCCTGCCCACTGCCTATCGCCATGAAAAACACGTAATTCGTCCCAGAAGAAAAAAAAAATCAATCCAATTAGCACAGACAACAACCACCTTCCACTCGGTGTTTACCGACCGCGCAATACCTGTGCCACCTCGACGTACCAAACGTACGGAATCGACAGGCGACTTTAACCTATAAAGGGCCACGTAAGGTAATAACCGTGTGTACAATTCTTATCACGGGTAAAGCCAGTATTTTGGCTTTTCCAGGCCCTTTAAAGATTAATGGCGATTCGTACACTTGTATTCACTTTATACCCATTCGCCAATAGCCTTCGCGCAGGACCGATGTTATCGCGCAGCAAATACGCGGGGACGAACCGAGAGGAGTGCTCGGGTCATATGATACGAGTCATGCACACGCACCCCCTGAGAGGAGATCGTCACGCGGTTCGTGGATCGATAATGTAATTACGATCGATAATATTCGACGTTACCGCACAGCGATTCCGGGTAAAGAAAGTCGAAGGGGATAGAAGAAAAGAAGAAAAAAAAAAAGAAAAGAAAACGAGGAAGAAAAGAAAACCCAATAGTTTCCATTGACCACGATGATTATTTCTATAACGGCCTTAGTCTTAGCCGGTATATCCTACGTGTTTGATTACGATTGACATTTGATTGATATTAACGTTAATGTAAAGCAATTCGCTTGTTACGTCATACGGACTGACAGTAGCATATTTCCCTAACGATAATTTATGACGAGAACAATAATGGATAAGGCTTTGTCGGCATCAGTGTGTACACATATATGTACACGTACGCATACGTAAGTTTCGTATGTCGTATAAGAGGGTCGTATGTGAAAGGGTCGTAAAAAAAAAAAGTCAAAAAGTCAAATCTGATAAATACTAATCGCTATTGAAATTGTCGTCCGAGACTGTGGATTATGAATTTTTTGGTTGTAAAAAAAATTTCCTGATAAATCTCGCTGTAACGACAATCGGTATTCCAATTTATATAGGTGTCCTTGCAATGAGAGTTTGACTGGTGTGACGTCATTAAATTGTTATCACTTTAATTATGCTGCGCCTTAAAAACTTATTATTTCTCGCGACGTGTGATGTACGCGATATTTTGTGTTTGTAAAAATTTTCACGATTCTTTACGGATTACGAAACATCTTCGTGTTACGTTATTATCGGGCTGACTCGTGAGATGATACGGCGAATTTAATAACTGGACGATACGCGACGAGTGCTAGTGTCGTGCAGGACGACGTTTACGAACGTATAATATGCGTAAGCGAAAGACATAAGATTGTTCCTTTGTTTTTACATTAAAGTAGAAGAAAACACGATAATCGGTGGGAGATTGAGTTTACTTTGCGATCCCTAGCGTAAATGTAAATTCGACTATGTTTATTTGCCTCGTTTTAAATGTCTAATAAATATTGTTTACTCGTCGACGACCGATCGGACGCGATGCTTGACGCCCGAGAAGCAGCGACTTACGGCGAAGATAAGTGAATTAATGCCCAAGGAACGAAGAGAGATACGAATTGGCTGGGTAACGAGAATAAATAAGAAGAAAGATAAAGATAAAACGTGAAACAAAGAGAAAACTTGTTAGTCGGAGTAAAAAGAAGAATAATTGGAATGACAAGACATTCGGCGAAGATTATTTTTCGGAATTAAAGGAACTTCGTGCCTTTATGCTTCGGAGCCATGAAGCCACGTGGTTGTCGCAAACGTCATTGCAAGCGGTTGAATGGGCGAGAAATGTCAAAGTTACAGGATTCTCTTAGAAAAACATAGAGAAATGGATGACGCGGAACTAGAAGCGTCGATCGACGGTAGCTAGTATAGAAATAAATAGTTTCTTCACTGAAATAAAAAAAAAAAGCCGACCTTATGGATTTCGAAAAAAAAAAAAATTTGATAATTATTCAAAAGAATTTTCGAAAAACCGAATAACGCTGGCTTTTAAGAAAATTGTGTAAAGCTTCATTGCACCAAAACAAAAATTACTTTTTTCTTTTCAAATATTTTCGCAAAAAACGATATATACATACTGACGCTCTCGTATGTAGATTTTACACGCACACCTCGCTCACTCGCTCGCTCTCGCTCGCTCAATGTCCATCTCGAACGTAGAAACAATTCACACGAATTACTAATTTCCCGTCCGTTCGCGGAATAACAGCCTAATGATAATACACCAGCAGTAAAACAGAAGACAAATAACAACTTCCCTCAATAAGTGCTCTTAGTGAAACTGTGCAACAGGAATTTAGCGTGAAATCTCGAAAATGTTTGCGTCGCCGCATCGTGGGAACGAGAAAGAGGAAGAAGAAAAAAAAAAAACATTTTCGATGACCGAAAAGGCGCGAACCAAATGTATAATTTCCCAATCAGTGAAAATGACGCGAAGAACGCGAATCGCGGTTAAACCAGCCGAAAGACTTTGTACGATGCCCCCTTCTTGGTAAATATTTCATCTTCACCCTTTTTTTTGTTGTCTCTCATCATTTTACCTTACGACTAATCGTTTCAGTTACAATAATAAATCACAGTTATATTTGCGAAGTAAAGGAATTATTCGTGAAATTCCTATTACTCAGATGCGACAGGTTGCACCGTTGATAAAGTGATGTTTTTGCATATCTTGCCTCGACTAGTGTATACGTAAAGCTCATAAATCTTTTTCGTTTTTCATATTCTTTTTTTTTTCTTTTTTTTCTTTACTTTATCTAAACCGCGCAAGTAGATTTAGGATCAAATTATTATTGCACTTTTCAATATCCGACCGTCGCACACTGGCTTTTTGTTTTTAAATATATTTCTGTTTTGTTTCTCTTAATATGGCGACACAGCGCTTTTGATATTCCACGCGGTGATTGCAATGCTCATACAACTCAAAAAAAAATACAATTTCGAAAAAAAAAAAAATCGAAATACCACAAACTGGCTCACACGAAACAATCGAACTTTGTTAAACTATTTTGTTAAAAAAAAAATTCACGTTTTTTTTAGTTGTCGTATTTACC